GTCTAATTACCAATATATCATTTTTATTAAGTGTGCGAGGGTAACTCGGCGGGGTTGTTGAGTTTTATTATTAACATCACGAACTGACTTCAGCTATACAACTAAGGAGAACCTTGAAGCATTGTAAAACTGTTACTTCCAATGATAGGTTAGATCACCGTCGGAGCTGTGAACTTGTACTTCAGAGTAGACTGACGTTAGGTTGAAGCTGCTGTCTGATACTAAAAGTAGTCTAATGAGGTCAATCGATGGTAAACAGAAGTGACCTAATGGATGAGAGCATTTCATTGGTTAAGAAATGTATCCATTTCCCAAGGGTTAGAGTGTTATATATATATATATTAGAAAATGAGCATTTTATTCAGTAAACCAATACACTTCCTCTCGTACTCTTATATGCTCGCTCAGGTAGTCAGTTGGGGGATTTCAGACACCACCCGTCACAACAATGTCTGATGCTTCCTGACTTCCAATAGTTGTTTAGCTAAAAGCTATCTGTGATGTCAATTATAGTACTAATTTGTTTACAATTAGGTCAAGGAATTTTATGAAGCATTCAATGCTTGTAGACAAAATCATGCATAGAATAGGCATCTGTTCAATTTGAAATTATGTTAGCTTTAGATTCATTTTATGAAACTTTTTTTGAAATCATACAAAATTTCAAACAAAGTGCCAAAACATGACAAGTACTGGAAAATTTAAAACTACCCTACCTGAAATTTAGCTATTAAATTACTGTATTTTTGTATTCTGCTTGTCAGTTTTTCCCTGATTCATAAACAGTAAATGTGTGTTGTAACTTATTTTTAAGTTATTCCTCATTTTATATAGTTGAAATAATGAGTGTCAATTAAAGCTAGACCACCATGGAAAACCTGGAAGCACTGGAAGGTCGTTTCGTCCCATTGTGGGACTCCTCAGCAGTGCGCATTCACGATCCCGCCTCGTGAGATTCCAACCCAGGACCATGGTGGTCTAGCTTTAATTGGCTCACGATTTCAACTATATAAAATTACTAAAAAATCCACAAAATCCCCTTCTACTATTCTTAATTTGTTACGCACCTATTACTTCCATTATGGTGTAGTCATGACGTTATTGTAATCTCTTAATTTTCTTAATATATAATTAAGAGCTTACTTTATATAACTGTATTTTTTTGAGTCGTGGTTAAATTGAATATAATAGAAGTTAACTGTTGACTTTCGTTTAATTTGAAGGCAAGATATAAAAAACTTGTAGATAGTAGACCAATAGGTTCTTAGCTTGAGTTGGCTCAAAGTCAATTGTCTAAGTCAGATATGCAATTGATCTTAGAAGTAACAGATGCAGGGATAAAAAAAAACGACTACTATTTCAGTACATAATATCGATCAGTGTTACAAACTATAACAGAACATTGTACTCCACCTTCAAAACTAACAATCATTATGCGAGGCGGGATCGTGGACGCACACTGCTGAGGGGTTCCACAATAGGACGAAACGGCCGTCCAGTGCTTCCAGGTTTTCTATGGTGGTCTAGCTTCATTTAATTCATGATCTTAACTACTAAAATTAAACTACCAACTTTGTTATAATCTTAATGCGAATGATTATAAATATTTACCTAATACAATAGTCCTTAATAACACCCAAATAATAGCCCCCAAATAACCTGGTACGGCAGAGATTGGGGAGTGTACTCTTCCTCTCGAAGTGCTCTCATATGGACGCGGATATATAGCTTTTGTCAGTGAAGTCCTACTCACTACATTCTCACAGCATTACTGTTGTTTACGAAATTGAGAGGACGAAAAGCGAATGAACAGCGCTTTAACCGGGTTGGTGGACACGGGAAGTTCACCTAGGGGAGTTGAAAAACCGTGATTTTAAACCAATGGTCCACACGGGCTCCAGTATCCTGATGGAACAAATGGAGTATGAATCATTCGTTGGTCACCGGCTACCATGTGACTGCATCTCATTACGATGCTCCAGTGTCTTGTGGATCAGACCTTTAGGTCAAAGGCTCGGGGTGTGGCTCCCTAAGAAAACCACCTGCTTCGGTGTGGGCACTTGGGCAGTATCACAGCCCTTACACAAATCAAATGAGATGTGTGGCGCATATATATCTGATGCCTCCTTGTACCAATATTTATGTGTTTAAATAAATAAAATAATAACACTGTTAAGAGTTTACCATATTTTTTAAAAATTATTTAATATAAAAGAATTTTCGACAAAATTAGAAATTTTAATAGTTGAGATCATGAATCAATTGAAGTTAGACCACCATGAAAACAGTGGAAATAATCACATATATATATATATATATCTAAATTAAAACACGGATACTATAAATAAATACTTCATTGACCTCAGTTAAGTTACTATACAAAGCCAATAAGCACTGCACAGTTATTTAGTACTAGTATAGACCTAAATACTGTGCATCCATGACATGCCGAATTTCGAACGCATAAAACTTTTGGTCAAAACCGTTTAGTTCAATCTGAATACCTATGAAAACTTTGAAGACCATAATGTTAGGTGATATGGGTTGAAGCCTCAAAGAGAGAATTAGTACCATTAAGATACCAGGTACAATTTGCTGACGACTGTCAAGTAGCATGAAAATTGAGTTCAGGAATTCATGATACGACGTATTATCATTTCATTTTTCGACAAAGTGGACATGATATCAAGTCACTGAAACTAGTGTTGAATCGAAAGAATCCGATAAACATTAGTCATTAATTCAATGATCAAGCGATGTAACTAATATCTAAGTTAAAGTTTGACATTAGACACACTTATAACTGCTCTACAGATTATACTCAAAATGTTTGGATATAATTATTTTTCTGTGGATCTATGAACATGATCACAATTGATTGATCAGTAGGTGGTGATTAATGTCATGCTTGTCAAGTCCATCTTAGTGCTGATCGAATGCTATCGATCAAGTTGCAATGTGGCCATTAGTCTAGGTGGCTCGACACTGCGTGCACTATGTTGAAATAAGATGATGGTCAACGGGAAACCCTGAACCCGGGTTTCGTGCTACTCGGCGCTCGTCAGCATTCGATCAGCACTAAGAAGGACTTGATACGCATGACATTGATCACCACCCTGTGATCAATCAATTGTGATGACATCTCAGTCCTACAAGAGGTCGGTCGCCGCCCGAATAGCTCAATGGTAACGTGAAGCTGGGTGACACTGGACCAAACCCGTCAGGGAGCACCAGTTCTATCAAGATTACAGGTACACCTTGCTGACGAATGCCAACTAGCACGAAACCCGGGTCCAGGGTTTCTTGTTGACCACCTCCAACCACCATCTTATCTATGAACATGATTAAACTAATAAACGGTGATATAAACTACTTTTGAAAATTTGATCAATAATTCTCTAATATTATAAGGGTTCCAAATGTTCAATGTCAATCTGAAGAACATACTTGTAGGTTGCTAGTACTCAATTATAGATTCCATTAAAACATGACTAGTGTTTGTTGGAAGTACTGAGTGACCGATGTTGAGTTTAGACAAAGAACACTAGTTAAATATATAAAATCAGATGATGAGGTTTATTTTTTAACTTCAACTGTGGTTAGGACATTCAGTACATCTCAGCAACCACCAAATAACACAGTGACAACTGATGTAAAAATATGTTGAGCGAAAGCTAAAAGGAACAAAACACTACATTACATTAGTCTATCAAGCAATCAGCCGTTGGACTTAGCTGCGTTAGTAAACTCAGACTATCAAATTATGATCCGCATGGTTTCAATAACAAAAGGTCAGAGATGATTAGTGAAATGTTTTTGAATCGGTCGCAATTGTATCGATGTTTTCACTCTTATATCCTGAGATTCAAAATTACCTTGTCTTTTCTTGTTTATCCCACGAATTCATTATTTGCTCTCAAATCATTATGGTTATCCTTAATCTTTGCTAAAACCAATGACACTATTACTACTTTCAATAGTTTGTGAGTTTTCGATGTCTTAATGTAATATGACATTTTGAATCGAAATACGTATATGTATTAGGCTCAACATTTTGTATGACTGACTAACTAACAATCTGAGGTGATATTTATTAACAAAATCTTAATAATCATGATTTCATGTTTACTAACGACAAGCTTCGACATGTCTTAGTACAATGTTATATGAGAAAACTATAGATCAATAGAACTTAAACATTGTTGTTAGTGTGGATTACTGACCGATAACACTGAATATAAATCACAAATTCGTTATTTCAGTCAGTCAGTCACAACGTTGAACTTCGTACGTACGTATATTGTGTTAATCCGTCTTCTCGAAAAATACTCTCAATATTCAATCTTTTTCATGACCTATTCCATCAGAATTATTTCAATTCTTTTATTTATTTATTTAAACACAGATATTGGTACAAGGAAGTACCAGATATATATGCGCCACACAAATCAAATGAGATTTGTGTGAGGACTGTGATACTTCCCGAGTACTCAAACCGAAGCAGGTGGTTTTCTTAAGGGGCCACACCCGGAGCCTTTGATCTAAAGGTCTGATCCACAAGGCAGTGGAGATGCAGTCCATGATAGCTGGTGACCAACGATTGGTTCATACGCCATTTGTTCCATCAGGATACTGGAGCCCGTGTGGACCATTGGTTTAAAATCACGGTTTTCCAACTCCCCTAGGTGGACTTTCCGTGTCCACCAACCCAGTTAAAGCTCCTGCCGGACATTCGCTTTTCGTCCTCTCAATTTTGTAAACAACACCCGCGCCACGAGAAGGCTGTGAGTAGGACTTCCCGAGTAGAGGCTATATACGCGTGGCCATGTGAGAGCATTTGGAGAGGGAGAGTGGACTCTTCTCACTGTCGGCCGTACCAGGACATTTGGGGGCAGTTCAATTTGCTTTTTTTTTCTTTTAACTTCATAGCGTCATGTTCATATGACATGCTAATCTGAATGAATGCAAATTTGTGCAAAGTGTTACAATGATTAAAACTTCTAAACTGACACTTAGATCTTACATACATTCATATCAAATAACATAACAAAACATTCAGCAAATACAATACCTAAGATTTATATAACTCGTAAAACACGACACTTAAAGGTCATGATTATGACATTAATAATAATAATAATAATATTGGTATAACAGTAATGGGATTACATAATGATGGCGCCTTAGTCTCTAAGAGCAATAGATTAACAGAAACTCAATTGTCACAGCCAAGAAATAAACAAAGAAATTGTTCAGATATACAAGCCCGTACGTATACAGAAAATCAAACAGTCATAAGAATAATAAGTTATGATAATACTACTTATCATAGAATTGCACATATATTCATAAGTAATATCTGAACATATATCTAAATTTATACAATAAGAAAAAGGTAATAATGAAAAATAAATGAAACCGGTTCCCCCCAGGAAAAATGAAGAAAACAACCAGAAATAAAGAGAGTGATTCGCTCCACATATAAACTCTATGTATAAGCACTCAGATGAATCCACATATACACACAGAGATCACTTGCAACAATGGAAATGTAATATGAAACAAAGTTAATTTCAGTGTTTATCTAAAGTAATTTGCACAGCGCGAAATTTAAAACCGAAAAAGCGGTCTTACTTTACGCGGTAAAATCTCTTTCATACATACATAGATAGATAGATAGATATAATTTGAGTAAATACGATGTGACTGGAATGATATACAAAGAGACAATCATAGATCATATAAATAAATATCAACTGTTAGTCTGACTTAATTCATTCATATTTATATGAGGAGGAACTTTATCTAATATTGATTGAAAATATTTTCCAACGTCAATAACTTCAGTTAATGAGCGTAAATAAAATGGATGATGCTAGAGTATAGACGACGGCGATGACGACGACAATAGATGAGGGTGAAGGGGAGAAAATGGGAAGGAAGGAAGAAATAGAAAACATACACAGAGGATAATTTAAACAGCAAAGTAATAGGGCATTAAAAAATTTCAAAAGATACAAGAATACTTTATTGTTTAATAAAAATAATAGTTGTATACCCAACTGGTGACGAGTTTTGAAAGGTTAGTCATGGAGGTCCGATGAGAAACCGTGACCAGTGAAGTTTAACCATATCGGGTATGAAGCAATTACTTACCAACAGTATAGGAAGATGGTTTTGAAACGTTATGAGTTAATTGAAATTCGAAATTTAAACCATTGGATGCCGTTTCAGTGGCCTGTAGGTCAAGCGATCGGTGCAAGATCAAGTGTTATCTATTCCGTCGCTCATGAGGTCGCTGATGCTGAGGAGTCCACATATACTAGGACAAAATAACTACCAAATGATCGCCGGGTTTTAACGGTTGCCCAACTAAGATTAGTTTATAATATAAACTTTGAAGAATAAATATGTCGAAATGATAAGCGAGCAGTAACATGGCTTATTAATACGATAAAGTAATAAACGACACAGTAATCCGATGGTAAACGGTGTTGTTTAAGACAACCTACCTGCAAGTTTAATGTTATTATGTACCTTTGTTTCTGAAGTCTAGACAGTTAAAAACGATTTACAGGTTTTACATTTTTTTAGTCACTAAGATCCCTTCTCAAGGATATGATTTCAGATATTTCAAGTGGAGAATGTAACCGACTAATACACCAAGTAAATGTTGAATCAGTGGTCGGTTTTAAGTCCCATTTCGATTGTACGGCGTGTATTGCAATACCGAAGTCGGAGAACTGGTACTTAAATGTGACCAGTAAAGTTGAATACCTTAACTACTAAGTAAATTAACACCATGCTCTAAATGAAAATTTAAGTGAATATTAGTAGGATCATTTGGTACCATCTAAGAAATAACCTACTTGAAGTGTAAATTTCACACTATGAACATTCTTCTCTTAGGAAACCTGAGAAAGACTGGTATTGATGACTTGATGCCATCATCTTATAAATAAGAACACAACTCAAGACCAGTCAATTATGAAACATTTTCGATAGTGATTTTATTTACATAAGCATCAATATTGAGTTTCTATGGGATAGCAAAGATTGTACTCTTCTTGAAATACTATTTTCTAATCCCTCCTTCCATCTATTAAGAGAGTTTGCCAAATATTCTGGTTATCCGTAGAAAACACTTAAATATCATTACATCTACCTACATTGGGAACACCAAACGGTGAAATATTGCCTTTGCAACTAAAACTAACCCTCCTACAAGTCTTACTGTTCTGATCCAAACCAACTTACTTGACAGTAACAGACTAAATTAAATGGAACTTCATCTACAGTGATAAACATACAAAAGTTGTTTGATACGAAAACAACTATTGTCCATATCAATGCAGTCATTGTATAGTAATGGACATTATTTTATGTATGGAACACTTTTAAGACATTGAATGGTTATGAATTATAAATTCAACAAGAAATTTATATTATTATGGCCATTTACGCTTAAAGGTGATAATCAGTTAATTTACACATCAACAATTACTTTCTCATCAATTAAGGTACTGCTACGAACAACCAGTGAATGTTTAACATTTTAAAGATTAACTTAGCTCAACAAGACTTGGAGCTTTGCAAGTGAAACCATAGGCTAGCTAGTTTTATAAACTCTTGAATGCTGTTAGAGGTATGAGGACAGTTATCACTTCCCGGTTGCCCACACCGTGGAAGGGTTCTTCTAGAGGTACCTGAAAAGAAAATTGGATTAGAAGTGGTTTTGATGACCTGAGAGCGTGACCGCAGTGCCCAAGAGACAACTGCTTGAGGTCGGTCACATACGACCTTTTTGTGAGTAATTTTCATGTTAGCTCCGTACTTATTGGAACCTTACCGCCGGAGACGGATATCCGTGGGATAAGGCGAGGTGTGCATTTTTTAGGGTCGACCTTTTCTAACGCCACCCCTCTTTGTGGAAAGGTAGCGTCGCTGTTATGCTGGTTGTCTGAAGGAAACACCTTACTGCTGTCACACCTCTGTACAGTCAGCAGTACGACTTCGCCTTCGGACCTTGAGTAACGACTGTTCTAGCCAGTATAGCTCGATTGGTTCATCACAATAGGCAAGCTTGACCACCACGTCAAGGTAGCAACAACTGACTAAGTGAGTTTGATAAACTACCTCAGCTTAAGGAACATATCAAAATAAATATATGTGTAATTATGTGGGGAAAAATCAGTACCAAAAATACAGTAGAAAAGGTTAAACAAACCATAAGTGCTTGATATTTCGGTCGACATCTCACATCTTTCTCTAAGCACTGTGAGACAAAATCACGAAATTCAGATGAAAAATCTGTTGTTGATGAACAAGATTCATTTGAATTATTACTTATGGAATGATTGGAATATTCAATATTGACAAGGGTTATAGTTGATGATGAAGTTTGAATAGATTTTGGTAAGTATTCCGGTAAACTAGGTGGATCATTATGTAATACACAAGTGAGTTGTTCAAATACGGAATTCCATGCTGGATAAGGAAATTGTCCAGTAGATAATTCAATCAAGGTAATACCTAAACTCCATACATCTGAGCGTATATCATAACCATTAGCGCTTAACTCTGGATGAATACGTTCTGGCTATAATAATAATAAAAATGAAGAACAATACATTCGCATAAAATTAAAATTTTATTACACGAATAAGAAAAGACTAATCACACAAAACAACGATTCAATGATCACAGTAACTTAGTAAGTAGATAATGCTAGTTTGTGTATTATACTTCTTTCATGCAACAGCTAATGATGTTATACCGAAATAAAGGTTGTGTTAAGGTGAACGAGATGCTTTAATTACGAATCCACTAATATACGAAACCAAAGGGAAGGAATAGACAGTCATTTCGTCCCAGTTAGAGACTCCTCAGCAAATGTATACACAACGCAACTAGGATACCGATAAATTTTAAATTACTAAACTGTGGGTTATCGAACTGGCGCTACGAATTTATCTATGTAGTCCTAACTGAACGGCCCAGAAGAGACAATTAAGCTATAATTTCATATTAACTAAGATTCATTAGCAAAATGCATCTGGAATCATGAAAACTGAAACTAACATCTTGAATAGCTCATTAGTAACATCTACGACAGTGGGAAACAGTGATGTTTTTTTCAGAACTATTGGAGGGTTACTAATGTTTCTCAATTGCTCGTATATCATGGGATCACCGAGTATATTCTGGGACCACTGAGTAAGTAATGCAGTTGTTAGGAAACGAGTACTAGGTAAGGATGACACATGTTACGTATGCTCAACCACAGATTGCTCCGACGTGCAATGTTTTGTGGTGTAAGAGTAGATGGGGAGAAAGCTAGTGGCGGCCAAAACAAAACGTGGCACAAATCCATTAAGTCACTGACAAGTGGACTGAGCCTTGTTGGTAGGTGCAGACTACCTGGTTGACATTCGCGAGATGATAGCAATCGATGGTTAGAAACTTTGAATGACATGGCTCAAAATCGTTTGCAATGGCGAAGGTCCATCCACTCTTTGTGTTCTACCAAATTCTAATCTTCTGAATTCTTCATGTCACTATCATTTTCTCTTTCCAAATTTATTTCACTAGATTATACTCCTTCAATAACATCTTCAAACCCTAATATTTCCTATCACTGTTTATACTCTTACTACTTCTAACACTATGGAATTTGAATTGACAACTGTATCTCTGTACTAATGTGGTATAGCAACTCGAACTGATGTACGTATATACGAAGTTCTACGTTGTGACTGACTGACTGAATGTTTCTCAAAGTTTTTAGATAGATATTTTTTGTTGAAAAGTGGAACGTAGTATCAAACTTATGTCACTACAAAGGTTTCTTTTGACCGTTAATATAACAAATTAATAAATCAATATATTTGTAATATCCCAATGAGTTAAGAAATTAAATTTCCTGTAGTTTCGTGACTCAGTGTAAGCCACTTCTTCATAGAATTAAATAACCAAATCAAAATTAATCCAAGTTTAAATAGTACAAAGTTTCTCCATCAAAAAATAGAAAAACATAGTCATTAAACAGTGGTGAACGTGTGTTTACGTTCAGCGCTCTCTCTCTCTCTGTATAGTTATTAGTAGTTGGTGTTAGTCAAATAAGACTTTCTCGAAGCAAAATTCAAACCCTGGCAAGACAACCGTTTATACCTATCTTAGTACACAACCCTAGATATTAGATATAACGATAAAACTAATTGTATTGTAAACGACAAAGTTACTTATACACATGCATATGAACACTTTAATTGTTTTTGATGTAGTTTTATTCTCTGAGCTGGATGGTTTGGTCGTGGAGCTTTCATCATCCTTCTGAACGATATCATCAGCACAAACTTCAGGTAGAAGTGAAGTGTTTGAATTTCTCCACATGATGTCGTTCAGAAGGACGATGAAAGCTCCACGGCCAAACCATCCAGCTCAAACAACAAAACTCCATCAAAATTATCCACCTGAGCTACAAATCTTCTCCACCATCTCAAAACACTTTAATTGTCTTGATACTATTTTTTAAAACAAATTAATGAGTTAAATATTAACACACAGGGTATTAGAAAATGAGGGTAAATCAGTTGATGTGGTCAGGAATCTTCATCGACTGAGATGGTTAGGCCACGCGTTACACATGCCTGAACACCGATTACCACGACGCGCTATGCTGACTAGTGTAGGGGATGGTTGGAAGAGAGTTACGGGTAGCCAATCCAAAACGTGGCATCAGTGCTTGAAGTCACTAACTTCTAGTATGAGCCATGTTGGTAGATGCAGACTACCCGATTGGGGTCCGCGTGATTATCGTAACCAATGGTTGGAGACTGTAGGTGATATGGCTCAGAATCGATCACAATGGCGTAGGTGTATACACTCTTTATCTTCCCTTAAACCTTGAGATTAAAATTGCTTCATAACGTTCTTCCTTCCTATACTATATCCTTATATACAACTAATCTTTTATATACTACTGCCACTAAATTAACTATTTCTATGAATTCGGTGTTTATCTTGTTGTGCTAACGAGATATGGCAACTTGGACCGATGCATAAATGTGCCAGGTCCTACGTTGTGGCTGACTGAATGAGTTAGATATGAACAATGTTTGCATAAAACTTATATCTTATTTAATCGAAATAAGAAATGGAGATGTAATTGAAATTAGTAATGTATAACATGTGATTTTAACTCAGTGACTTAAATGTTCAGCGTCTATCATAAGACCTAATAGTTCATGACTCAATCTTTGGTTATAGTCGTAGATACGTATTGATAAAGAGTCACACAATAGGATATAACAGGTTATTAGTCCTTCCTGGTTTTCGCTAGCTGTATGTAACTGACGGATGTTAACAAACTAATTTCTGAATAGCGCACAGAACTGGAAATTGATTGCAGAATGAATGAATATGCCGGTGAAAGCCTCAATGAATCCGTGAAAAATGGTAACTTAAGCGAAGCAGTAATAGTCATACATGATCAGTCCAGTAGTCCAGTCCTGTCTGTTTCAGGGACGTGCCTTATCCCGGAAACAGAACACGCACACGATATGACAATAACTAAAGGTAAAATCTATTTAATTTCACATTAATCGCTAATTTGAATCAATATATAGACTAATGAGTTACAAACAAAAAACAAGGGAGTTAATTAAGGCTTACCGCCATATACGGTTTACAACCAGCATCACGTGATCGAGCAATACTATCGACCAACTGACCAGATATACCAAAGTCACATAATTTCACATTACCGTCACAATCTATTAGAATATTTGATGGTTTTACATCTATATGGTCGACAAACGATGTACAAAATAAAATATTGTTAATTTTTTGTGATTTACATCACGGACCTACTTTAGTCAAGTAAAAATAGAAAACTAGGAAGTAATAGACAGATATTTTGTCCTAGTAACTGGCACCTCAGTACCACGTCTATACGACCCTGCCACCATGGATAGAATGCCTGACCTTTGGGTACCGTGACGAATGACTAACCATCAGGTCACTCAGCTGGTATCCGATAATTTAAATACCTAACCTAAATATGTTTGTGTTATTGCGCGATCATTATCTTATATGATAGGTAGGTAAATGCATAATTTTCAGGAACTACCCCGATATGTTAGTCAATAGTGAGCACATGACTGAAGTCGGGAATGTAAGCCATGGTATACGTACTTAGTAGTCTGAAGGTTAAACTCTGTCCTTGGGTTCGATACCTGATAAAGTTGTGGATACATGCCACTGAATATTTCCATACTGAGATAAAACATCTGTCATGTGCTTGTTCATTTTTTTATGTCTCTTTAGGTCTGTAGATGTGAACTACAGAAAATTCAACGATCTCCATAAATCTTCTACATTTAAAAAAACACAATTAAATAGTGGAATATCATACAATCTTATAATAATGTGCTTATAGACTGGAAACAATTGCCCAGTACATAGTTCGGAGGAGAATCCAGATAGGCGGCCTATGCTCCTCCTCGAGGAGTAACAGGCGTAAGTAAGTATAATACCATTTAATTTATTATACTTTCTTAGGAGAAGTGAAAGTTTAAATTGTGACCCGATGATAAGAAAATACTTAAATCAGTCATTATGTCCATCAAACTTATATATATTATTGATGCAAACAGTGGTAACAGTTTGAAAACAGACAATTTTCTTTATAGATTCAAATTACTTGAAGATTATTTAGAAGCCAAGATACACGGAAGATGCGTGAACCAATGAATTAATATCCGTTAAATTACTGAGTAGTACTATGCTACCAACGTTACACATAGTTTGTCGATACAATCCAATGTACGATCTTAAGTGAACAATTCTAAGAAATTTCAAAATGATTATCTAATACTTCTTGATTTTTAATGATCTTATTATGTTCTATACAATAACGAGTACTCTTTAAGAAATGTACTTCATTGAACCAGATATGACTAAGATGTAAGAATAAGTTGAAAACAACCATATATCGAAAGTCAGTCAGTCAGATACAACGTAGGACCAGGCACATATATGCATCGGTCCATATATCGAAAGACAAAACAGGAACCAAAAAAAACAAACACAAAAGTTCATACAGAAAATTATCTGAGAAGCTTTCAACACCTAATTGGATTGATCTAATAAAATAGACTGATAAAAATAAAATAGTGAATCATTTAGCACATATTTGAAATTTTCGGATCATTGTTGAACAATCTGTTTAGTGGAACTTATCACTATATGTCAACTTCATTGACTATGAGAAGTCGTTTGACAGGAAAACATTATGGAAACTAATTCGATACTATGGAGTTCCTGAAAAGATTGTCAACATTATCCAGAACTCATACAGTGCAAAGTGGTGCATGGAGGACAGCTGACAGATGCATTTCCAGTAAGAACCGGAGTCACGCAAGGTTATCTACTATCCCCCTTCCTCTTTCTTCTGGTGATTGACTGGATTATGAAGACTTCGACTTCTGATGGGAAGCACGGAATACAGTGGACATCTCAGAACCAATTAGATGATTTGGACTTCGCAGATGATATAACCCTCCTCTCTCATACACACGAACAAATGCAGACGAAAACAACAAATGTAGCAGCAGCCTCTGCATCAATAGGCCTCAACATACACAAAGGAAAAAGCAAGACTCTCAAATACAACACGGAGAACACCAACCCAATCACACTTGATGGCGAAACTCTGGAAGAGGTGGAAAACTCCACGTACATGGGAAGCATCATTGATAAACAAGGAGGATCTGATGCAGATGTAAAGGCGAGGATTGACAAAGCAAGGGAAGCATTTTTACAATTTAAGAACATATGGAACTCAAAACAACTCTCAACCAATTTCAAGGTCAGAATCTTTAATACGAACATCAAGACAGTCCTACTGTATGGAGCTGAAACATGGAGAACTACGACCAACATCAGGAAGGTACAAGTATTTATCAACAGTTTTCTACGCAAAATACTCAACATTCACTGGCCGGATACTATCAGCAATAGCGTTCTATGGGAGAGGACAAACCAGCTTCCAGCTGAAGAGGAAATTAGGAAAAGACGTTGGAAGTGGATAGGACATACATTAAGGAAATCACCAATGTGCATCACGACTCAATCCCTAACTTGGAATCCAGAAGGGAAGCGGAAAAGAGGAAGGCCAAAGAACACATTACGCCGGGAAATAGAAGCAGATATGAAAAGCATGAATGTTAACTGGAAAGGATTGCCCAGGACAGGTTTGGATGGAGAATGCTGATGAGCGGCCTATGCTCCTCGACGAAGGGTAACAGGCGTAAGTAAGTAACTCTACAAACCTTTTGTCTTATTAAGATAGTGTAAACAGAAAAAGTAATGTGTACATCAATCCCCTTTGAAATTTTTTTACACGATATTAACTATTACTCATATCACCATTATTACTACTACTACTATCATGCTTACTTACCTCGGTGTATGACTTTAAGAGCAGTTTTCAAGTAATCGAGAGCTGAAACAGTCTTTTTATATGTAGAAAAGAAAACAAAATTAGTAGGAAAAACTAAATAAGATAATAATAATAATAATAATAATAATAATAATAATAACATTTTATTATTTAAACACATAAATATTGGTACAAAGGGGCACCAGATATATATGCGCCTCACAAATCTTATTCCATTTGTGTGAGGGTTGTGATACTGTCCAGGCGATCAAACTGAAGCAGGTGGTTTTCTTAGGGGGCCACACCCACAGCCTTTGACCTAAAGCTCTGATCCACAAGGCAGTGGAGCATTATGAGGAGATGCAGTCCCATGGTAGCCGTTGACGAGCGATTGGTTCATACGCCATTTGTTCCCTTAAGATACTGGAGACCATGTGCACGCTGGATAGTCTCATTTAGTTATAGTATGGGACTCCTCAGTAGTAAGTATCTACAACCTTGTCAAGAATTGAACGTATGACCTTCGCATATCTTAATAAACGCTTAATCACTCAAACACACACACACATAATCATTATTTTACTTATATGTAAAAATTGCTTCATTTTCAATGTTTTGAATTTCTATGTTGTTAAGTAAGAAGTTAACAATTTTAGTGATTAGTCAATAGAGTAAAGAGGTTTTCTACTGGCAGATCTTGATGAACAAACACCCAGTTGATTTGAATAATCTGATTAGATAATTTATTCTATTGGTTGAAACGTTTTTTTAGAAATACGAGTTCTTTCGGAGTATATTATGTTAATCATTATCTTTTTATATTCCTGTCTTGCTTGATGGAACACAGGCTACTCAGAGGACGGAACCATTATAGGAATCATAGTTTCTATCGATTCTTATTGTCAAGTACACTCTACTTGGGTTATTGTTATCATATCAATTCACTCTATCGTATTAAGATCAATATAGATATATTTGAGAAGGGGTTTTGTAGAGATTTTAGTAATTTTATAGAGTTGAGATCATGAGTCGACTGAAGCTAGACCACCATGGAAGCACCGGATGGTCGTTTCGTCCTATTATGGGACTCCTCAGTGGCAGTGAGCATCCACGATCCCACCTCGCGAGATTCGAAGACATAGTTGCTATGATGAATACACATTGAAGTATGAAAACAAAAAAAAATGATTCAGTAAAGAGTTCTTTGATGCAGTGAAAATTCATCCTCAAATATGCACCTTTTTCTTTCTCTCAAATAATCAATAATATACATACGTTATACCATAATTGGCATTTTCCATTACAAATGACCCATCAGTAATATTAAGTAACTGTTTAAGTAAATGCCAAAGTATGATACTTGAGTAATACATACTAGAAAAATACCTTTATCTCAACTTTATAGTTACTTATCTGGAATATTTTGAGACTTAGTAATATAGAACATCACACAAATAAGACAATTTGGCTTATGAAAAAACAAAAACACCGACAATTATTTTTGATCTTCAGCTAAGTATATGGCTAATAATCATAATGAAATTACTTATATCGACAGTTAGTGAATTCTTTGAGTAACGATTGGATTTCTGTTTAACCTAAGCTTGAAAATATGGTAGAACGTACATTTCAGCCGTTAAATAATTATATTAACCATTCTTAATCTTACAGTAATGAATAGATTGTTTTTATCAGACAAGTGTGAAAAATTGAAAACAAGAATAGTTCAATCTTATATAATAAATCTAATTGATTATTTGTATCATCTCAAGAGTATAATATGAAAAAGTATGATGATACTCAATGTTTTATGATGTAAGAGTAGGTTGGAAGAAAGCTAGGGGCGGCTGGTAAGAGTAAAGGATATTCGTAAGCTACTAGTATTCGATCATAGGTGTCTTCAAAGCATTGATCGTATATCCTGTGACCAACGAGTAAGTAATGCAGTTTTTAGGAAACGGGTACTAGGTAATGATAGCAAATCGATTGATGAAGTAGTGAAATTTCATCAGTTGAGATGGCTGGGACACGTGTTATGTATGCACAATCACCGAATGCCCGAAGTGCAATGTTTTGTGGTGTAAGAGTAGGTTGGAAGAAAGCTATGGACGGCTAGAACAAAACGTGGCACAAATCCATTAAGTCACTGACAAGTGGACTGAGCCATGTTGGTAGGTGCAGACTACCTGGTTGACATTCGCGAGATGATAGCAATCGATGGTTAGAAACTTTGAATGACATGGCTCAAAATCGTTTGCAATGGCGAAGGTCCATCCACTCTTTGTGTTCTACCAAACCCTAATAAGTAGGGAGGGTCCGCTCTCCCTCTCGAAATGCTCTCACATATAGCCTCTGCCAAAAAATCCTACTCACTGCCTTCTCACAGCATTACTGTTATTTACGAAATTGAGAGGACGAAAAGCGAATGTCCAGTGCTTTAACCGGGTTGCTGGACACGGAAAGTACACCTAGATGAGTTGGAAAACCCTGATTTGAAAGCAATGGTGCAAATGGGCTCCAGTATCCTAAGGGGAGAAATGGCGTATGAATCGATCTTTGGCCACCGGCTACCATGGGACTGCATCTCCTTACGATGCTCTACTGTCTTGTGGATCAGATCTTTAGGTAAAAGGCTCGGGGTGTGGCCCCCTAAGAAAACCACCTGTTTCGATTTGGGCACCTGGGTAGTATCACAGTCCTCACACAAATCTCATTTGATTTGTGTGGTGCATATATATATGGTGCCTCTTTGTACCAATATTTATGTGTTTAAATAAATAAATAAATAAAGCAATCAGATACTTATATATATATACGCATAAAACTTACAGCTGTAGTAATTTTCCCAATAACACTTTCAGGTATTCTTGATTGTAAATAATTATAAACAAATTTATAAAATTTATCTAATGAAGTAGACATCATTTCCATGCATATCCAACAATCACCTTCTGTAAATATTGCACCATAAAATAAAACAATATTTGGACAATTTGCTGAATTCATAACAACATCTAAATCTTTCAATGTATTCCTTTGTTCACGTTCATTTAACGTTGAACGTATTCGCTGTAGAAGAAAACAACAACAAAAACAATATTTTTGTAATGATAAACGTTTACATGAATGAAAACTCGAGAACTAGCCAAGTAAAACGAAGTGTTTGAAGAATACTAAGCAATAAAAGTAGCTGGATAGGATAATATATAACTGTGACGACAGGGAAAAAAAGAAACATATTGAAGATGCAAATATCAGATGACTATCTCAACTGAACTGTATAACAGCAGCAAGTACAACTTAATTCACAAACCCGGTTGTTATAAACTTTGACATATCCACTGCTTGAGTTCACATGCTATGTCAACTACTTCTTGTGATACAGTTGCCAGTAGTATTTCAGAATCCAACTATAGCCCTGAAAGTGAGAGTACCTTCTTCAAATGATTTGACGATTAAGAAGATAAAGTCAGTCAGCTATAACGTAGGATCAGGCACATATATGCATCGGTCCAAGTTATCACACCTCATTAGCAAAGCAAGATTAACACCAAATTCATAATAGCAGTTACGTAGAATAGAATTCTGCAAAAAAGATGACTTGTGGAAGACTAAATTGTTGATGAGGAAGTTGGATAGAAGTGAACAAACATGCTGTGTTGATCAGTTACTGTCGAGGCTACCACGAGAGCTCAGTTTCGGAGAAATGGTAACTAAACTGTCGGAGATATTTGTTGAGTCGTCTTTATTGTTTAGTATTAGATACTAGTTTCTAAATTTGGTGAGACGTGAAGACGATGATTATAGTGTTCTAGCAAATGTCGTCAACAACGAATGTGAACAGTCCAAGTTGCGCTCATTGACGGGAGACCAATTGAAATACCTAATATTTATCAAAGCTTTCCTGTCACCACAAAATGCTCAGATTACGACTAGATTTTTGACTCGACTAAGCCAATGTTCAAAACTCACACTCAGAACACTGACAGATGAGTCTAAAGAGCCGAAGAACCTTAGTCACGACAATGACTTAATTGAATAGGTAAGTCCGAATTTAACCTGAGTAGTGTCAATGTTATTACTACGTCAAAACCTCAGAACCCCAAAACATTAGAAACAACTCATAACAAACCAATGACTGCCTGATGGTTATATGGTGGTTGAAATTATACACGATTCTGTCTATTTAAGAAGCATAAGTGTCAGATGCGCAGCAGAGGCGGACATAAAAAAAGTTACTGTCTAATGAATAGTATGCTCCAGACTAAAAAGAAATATAAACTTTCTCGACACATGGTGAAGTCAGCCAAGTTCTAATCACTTCCTCTAGTAGCAGCTTGTAGAACAAAATATGACATTTGGAGGAAGTGTGTTACTATCCTAACTAACGGCACCTCAACGTATCTTCAAAATGACACGGCATCGGGTATGACACTAGTGTCTAGAGGAACGGATGAACTTTTTGGGAGACTGCCAATGAAACCACCTAAGACAGGTAGAAATTAATCAGGGGATGTGTTGAAACCTGATGGTGAACAACAGTGTGAATTTCCTTTCAGCCGAATTAATTCTAAAAGAATATATTCTCTAACAGACTGACCAAACCGTGGCCTTCTTGGTCTAGATATGTCAGAAAAATTTCGAATATTGGATGAACTAATCAACCGTGTCTGTAATGCGCTGTGTACACCATTAGAAATTCCGATATCTTAAACAAAAACTGGTGGAAGGAAAAAATTTGCTCCTGTCTTTTCAGGTTGACGTTGTTCACTACACTATGGTGAAAGCTCATTTACCAGTGTCATCAAATGAAGTAAGAGAAGAATCTCCCTGAGACCCAATCCTACAAGAAATTAAAAAATTCCACATAGAAGGGTGGTCCTCGAAAATCTGCTACGCAGAGCTTCAGCAGTTTTAACGACTCAGAATGTCTGCTTCAATCTCAGGATTTTTTCAGCAGGACGGAATCAATCATTTTCAAACGCTTTCATCCCATCCTCAACCCAATAGTCAAGTAGGATGGCTTGTTGGTACATTTAAAAACACTCTGCAGATATCAAAAGGGAAGAAAACCACCGGAAAGACTTTAAGGGAGTTCCTGATCATTTACCGTCCTACCCCAAATCCTCAATTAATTGACGGAGTCTCTACAGCTGAAGCATTGCTTGGTAGGAAAACATACATATTCAGATGCTATTTGTCTTATTCCAGACCTTGAGCCTTAACGAAACAGATCGATGAAGAAGCACTTCAATTGACATCATGAGCCAAGGAGATGATTGCTTACTATGGGTCAAAAAAACTTGCTATGGACTATAGTGGCAAAATTCCTACATGGATAGCTGGCCAAGTCATACTAAGTGAAGGAAATGTATGTTTTTGAGGTATCAGATGGATCAGAAGTTTGGGTACATTATGCTAACCCACTGAAAGCAACTTCGACCGCCATCAATGAGAACCGACATAGAATACCTGCTCGTATTCTGCTGAACACTTCCGAAATCAAAACCCCTGCGAAAGATAGGTCAGTTTCTGTGGAAGCAAAGAGTGATACTACTTCTTCATTGCTCAAAACGTGGACAGATCGAAAGTACACACGAGACACATGGTTGCAGGTGGACCCTAACACCAGACCCAACAAATCTACTCAAAGGAGAGGTATTAAAGGAATACAGATTGGATTAATCCATGTTCTATGCAGGACTGTGTTGAAGCGTGTTGACTGACCATTTTTTTAGCCAATCAGCGCTGGCAGATAATTAGAGAGGACTAGAAACTTCTCGTATAAAATTATAAATAGACTGACTTTTTTTTCATTGTAATTCTTAATCCCACTCAACCTTGCTTATTTGGAATATAATTACGTTCCTGTTCAAATGCGTCCTTATGTGGGGACTAGTCGAATGAAGTAAGGTATCCGAAAAATACCAAGTAATGAGTAGATGGGTCTCATAAGAGAGATTTCAACGAATGCATTGAAATATATTTTAAACAATAAGATTTTTATTGTCACCACATAATACATGTTTTCTCACTAGAATAGACAAAAAACAAATAAAGAAGAGTGACTGTTCTACAATGAAATCGAATTGGATAAAATTCGTGCTTTCTTTTCTGTTCTATTGACAAAACATAGCTTACTATTTGGCTCGTGATTTCAATTGTTTAATATAACTCAACCAATATCTTTCCATTAAATATTGAACATTATTATGACTCCACATCTTTTATTCCTATTCTTCGATTTTAATTTTCGATATTTAGTTTGGATCGTCCTTGGTACTAACATTTTTACCCTCTTCGTTTCTTATCGTGTTAATTTTTTCCCAATTTCATATGAAGCATATTAATTTGAACTGATTTTCTTCAGCTTCATGTTGCACATCACTTTCGACTGACAGGTTTATCTACTATGTTTTTAGTTAAATGTTTCGCATTTGAGGGCTGACGATACTAACAGGCAGTCGAAATCAAAGTAGGTTGAGCGACACCGGACCACTGATCGATAACTACTAATCTGCAGGAGACTGAAATCCTGATTTCATAAATATATATGTCGAACGAATATTTCACGATTTGAGATGGATGGCACATATGATTATAATAATCCCTAGAGATCATGGGAATGCTTCAGATCATATAATTTTGTATCAGGCTGTATATCTTTGTGTTAAGTGCAAGAATTAATATTTATGAAAAAATGAAGAAGAGAATTTATCAGTTATATATATATATACCTTAACTGCCATAACTGTTTTCGTAGGTCTATGCATCATACGATTAACAAATCCATATGCCCCTCGACCAATTTCTCCTTCATCCACAAGATCCTCAGTTGAAAATTCCTAATTCGAGAAAAAACGAAAGTGGAAATAAATCCGAACAGCATATATAGGTGGATAAAATTGTTTTTGTGAATAACTACCCTACACCTAACATAAGTACACTCCACTGGTCACAGTATCCGACTGAAACTCCAGGAATTACATTCCGAAATAAGTCGATGATGACCACATAATTATTACCATTGAAGGTGGTTTATGGAGATAGTTGAATTTCACGATTTACATCAAGGTCTGACTTCAGTTAGACAACTATTGGAAACCAGAAACCACTGGACAGCTATCTCATCTTAATATGGAACACCTTATCAACGACCCCACCTCCAGAATAGTGAGTTGGGATTTGATGGTCTATATTATCAACTTCAATCATGTGCTCACTGCTGATTGAACATGAGATATAATTTCCGAATTTTAATGAACTGTGACTAGTGGGAAATAATAATATCCCTTTCAATTACATTTTCAGAAAGTTTTACTCTGAGATACAGTAATATCAATGCGTATCCATTGAAAATGCAAGATCAATCAAGGTAATTTATCAGTCAATTATAACAATGAAAAGTGACTACATAACTACTAATAATCAGCAAAAGTATATGTCGATAGTAAGGTAATAGACATAGAAGCATACAAATAATAAATAGTAAGATAATATGGACGAATATATAGATATGGCTAAAGTAGATTAAAGCTTTTAAAAAAAATTTACCTAATATAATTAATCCTTAAAATTACTCAGTATGAAGTGTATAAGAATAGACTACTTAAAAAGGCATATAACGGAGTAAAAAAAAACAAAGAAATAGTAGAAAGAATTATTCGATATTGTTTATTAGATTTTATCTGGTTAACGAAAAGGAATATAGGATATTACGAACTTTTCTGAAACATACAGACTATGACTGTCAATTTTAATTGACATACCAAATCTTGACAAACATTTGGAATGGTTAATTTTCCTTGACATGAATGATATTTACATCCCCTAAAGTATGAAAAAGAAACAGAACATTGAAAAAGAGATGCAGTACTAATAAAAACCCATGATAATAATAATAACTATCATTATTGGCAACATATTAAGCAGATATATCTTGAAAAGTAAAACACAACAATAATACTAACGATGTTAATAATCCATCGGACTTCAACTGTCCCAAAGGAGATCTGCCAATTAGTTGAGGTCGACAAGACATTGTTTGTATAATCTTAAAGCTTTTTCCTAGTATTTAGTATTCTGTGGAAATAAATGGAATTTTAAACAGAAAAATTGTAATTACTTGATTCCTTTTATGAGTTTACCGTTCGATTATAATAAACTGTCATTGCAGTCAATACACACACATTTGTATTTGTCAAACTGATTTGAGATACTTATTAGATCATTCACAATGTACTTGGTTCGATTACGCCCTCTAAACAAAAAAATTATTGTGGATTCATAAAAGGGAAACTAAGTATAAGTATTGAGATATATGCAACAAATAAACATGAAAAAACGTGTAACAAACTGTTGTTTGTCATGAAACCAATGAGACTGTTATCGACTAACGCAATATGAATCTGCAATTAATCTCATTTCACTATTTCATATTATTTCTCTTCATGAACTTTAGTTGTGTACTTGTGAAAAAACATTGTCCATTATAGTTGGATGAAACTACAATCGACTGCATATATCTACACATTTTAACAGATGGAAATTTTATTTAAACCACTGACCAGGTACAGATTCTTGTGCTTGACTTCGAGTCAAACTAATTTTAGGGATATGTGATACACTATCCAGTTTCTCAATTCAAAGTAAGTGGAGTGATGTTCAGACCTACGGCTTAGCGGCTGAAATTTGAACGCCTTATTCTCTAAGCTAACATACGAGAAAGAGAAAAGTAGATGAAACATTCACCTTCAAGCTAATTAGTAGTAGACAATGGATCAAAATAAATACTTGGAGATACTGAACGTTTGAGAAGTGGTAGATTCGTGGTAAATTTACTCGGATTTCGAGCATACAGCCTCAGATTTATCGTCTTCCGCAATTAATTTGATTTAAGCAGTCGGTTAGCATTACTTATTGATATATATATATATATATTCATCATCATCTATTGTAGATATTCGACTATGCATGAAGTTGATCGCTATATTATAATATGACGTAAATATTGCCCCCAAATTTTCTGGTACGTTTAACGGTGGAAATCAGCTACTCTCAAAATGTCCTCACATAACCGCACATATACAATCACTGACAAGGAAGTTCCACTCACTGGCTTCTCTCAGCGGGTGTTGTCTACGAAATTGAGAAGACGAAAAGCAAACATCTAGCGTTTTACCCGGATTGATGGATACAGTAGGTCCAACTAGGGATTTGAAAAACCAAAATTTCATACAATGGTCACATAATTACATATAACAATTGTTGTGCAATATTGTGCAACAATTTCGTTGCTTTTGTTGACGTTTTTTGTAGCCAGATGACGTATTATGATTAGCTGATACGTTTTTAAGACTTCACAGTTTAGTATACTTTTACCTCATGTGTTTCCGATAGATCATATACTCGATTCAGCTATTACTAAATAAATCGGTTTTTTAACTGCCAGACCCAAACAAAAACAAAACATAACTACATCTTTAAACTAGTTAAATTTTGTAATAGCTTGTTGATAAAAAAACATTTAAAACTGAAATTTTGAGCGAGTCACAATATTCACCAAACTAACAAGTACCGCAACACCTGCAAATGCCTCCATTAATGAACTTGCTAGGCTGTTCAGATGTTTCAAAGGTTATTGATGGAATAGAAGAAGCTTTCGCTTAAAGAGATTCTGCATCTAGTAGCAGTGAATCACTGTTGCCTCCAGGTGGAACCAGTTTATATTATCAATAAAAGAAAAAAAGTAAAATTTTGGTAAATCACAGTTTAGTACTGTCCTCAGTCCGTAAGAATATCAATTCACTTAGTATTGTTTGTTTGGATCTTCCCATCGATGTGTTTAGGACTGCAACTGGTCAGTCTCTAATTGGCATATGTGCATACTGTGCGTATTGCCTCGATATACCTTAATTCACAAGCATGGTAAGCAGAGATGGATAGTGGCTAGCAGTGGAATCCAGGACGCGCGTTTCGCTGACGAGTCCCAAATAGGACGAAACGCGCGTCCTGGATTCCACTGCTAGCCACTATCCATCTCTGCTTACCGTAAGAATATCAGTTTCGGTTTCAGTTTGGGAAGGACAGGAGGCTTGATGGCCTGTTTTAGTCCTGGTAATGATGGTCTTTCAGCTGATCTAACTTTCTTTCGAAAGAGTCGACGGATGGAGCCTCAACCACGTGATGAGGTAATGAATTCCACTCGTTGATGATTCGATGGGAAAGTCGGTAGTCAGCTGACAAGTAATTCGTTCTGGGCTTGTGAACTTTTTTGGAGTGTCCTCGTAAATTTTCTGTTTTGAAAGACAAGAAAAATAATGGCATATCAAGTGCAAATTTATCACTAAGTAATTTGAAAACTGTAATCAAGTAGCCTCTGATTCTTCAACACGACAGGCGGAATAGGTTTAGCTTTATCAGTCTAGTACCATACGGGAGCTTCGCTATTTCGGGAATCATAATATTTGCTGTTCTCTGAACCCTTTCCAAGAGTTCGTTGACTTATTTTAGGCAGGGGCTAGCTGTTTGTATGCAGTACTCAAGTTTAGGACGCACGAAGTTTTGGCTTAAATGACTCCTAGAAAGTCTCTCGGGCTAACTTGACCGGCAGCGAATTCCAGCATTTTACTACTCTTAATTAGTAGAAGGTACATCTATAGTCCGTTCTGCTTTGACGTGCCTCCAGTTCCTTGGTGTTACCCCTAAGGTTTGTATTGGGACTGAGCTTAAATAAGCACTCAGGGGGATTTCCAAAAGTGTTTAGGATGCTGTAAGTCATTAGGTTGCACCTAAAACGCCCATACGTCTGATGGGAAAAGGTTCAGTGAATTGAGCAGCCCTTCAAAACACTTGAATTTAAGTCCGAGAACTGATTTTGTGACTCACCTTTGAATACATTCCAATGCATACCTATCCTTTTGGAGTGTGGGAGGGAACACTATATTTCCATGCTCTAACTGAGGTCTAATAAAACTGTTGAAAATTAGGTGAAAATTTCTACCGTCCAGCTGTCCAAAAATGCCCTTCAACGTTAGCAATTCGAAGTTTTCTGGAAAGGCATTTTTGTTTCAGTTGACGTAATACTTCAGATCACTAGGTCCCAACACTCCTAGATCTCTTTCAACGTGTAATACCTCTAAGGGGAGTTGCCTAATTTGTAGGTGTAGTCTGAAACATGTCTCAGATGGACTTTTTTACACTTTGAATTGTTTAAGTTAATTCCGTCGACATCGGATCAACTTCGAAATCGAGTTAAATCCTCCTGAACTGCCAGTTTATCCACTTGGTTACAAATTTCTCTCCACAGTTTCACATCATCAGTGGAAAGTAATAAATCTGATGATACCTGCTGTCTGAGATCGCTTAAATAAATTAAGAAGAGAAGAAGTCCTAGTATCGGACTCTGGAGGACACCACTAGGACATTCCATAATCTGAGAGAAGGTGAAGTTAACCCTGACCTTAAAATGTTAAATTTTTCAGGTGTGAAGTGAGTCAATCAACTACAGGTGACTTGATACCTAATCGTTTGAACTTATTGATAAGACATACATTGTTGACCCCATCAAAAGCTTTTGAGAAGTCAAGGTATATGACGTCAACCTTCACCCTGCGATCAACGATGGTTGTCCATTTGTCTGCCGCAGCCAGTAGATTGTTGTACATGAGTGACCCTTTCTGAAATCGATTTGTTGGGAGTGAAAAGAAGTTATAGATAATAAATGGTCATGCATACCGTCGTATATCGGGGACTCTTTAATTTTTGAGGGTGTAAAGAGAAATGCTACAGGTAGGTGAATTTAAAGTTAGCTGAGTCGACCTCCTTTGAAAATTAGTGTGATGTGAGCCAGGTTCCAAAGTTCCTATAATGTGCTTTGGCTAAGAGAGTGTCAGAACATCACACTAAGAGGTGTTACCAACATTGAAGCTGCTTTCCTTAGTATAGAAGAATGAACTATATCCGGACCAGAAGAAGTGTCTTTTTAAGGTACTGCAGTTTCCGATACTCCAAGACAAAGCTCAGATTCACTTCAGACAATCCTGCTGAAGGAAACTCTGGTTTTGACTTGTCGAAGAAAGAATGCATGACGGAATAAGCTTTTCGCATTGCAGATGAATCAGTCGCTTAGCTTTATCTGATCCTGAAGCCTGTCTTCTCTTATTACCTGTGTGCATATGTTTCTAACTTGTTTGAATTGCCTGTATGCATTGTTGTTACCAGTTTGTTTGTACACTGGCCAGTAGCTCCTTTTGCGGCTTAGCAAATGAAGAATAGAATTCTTGATAACTGTAGGTTGCTTGTAGACTTTGGAGATCGTTTGCCGAACAGACTGCTTTGCAGCACAAGAGATCGTGTGTCGTAAGAAATCCCAACGAACATCCACATGAAGTTGGACATGAACTTCCCAGTGCATCTGCTGTAGATTGTCTTATAAAGCTTACACATTTAACCGTTTGAAATTCCAGATCCTGTCGTTGACGGCGTGACCACTTTTACTCAAGGAAACCGAAATCGAGAAGTTATCATCGTTTGTAAACATGCAGTCCAAGCGTGATGGCCTCTGAATGTTTCTCCAACGAGTTGCTAACTTGACATTTTCAAAAATCCCAGATTTTCAATGAGGTTGAAGGACCGAGCTGCAGCAGAGTTTTCATCACCAATGTACGCATGTTAGAGAAGTTGACATTCGGAAGAATGAAATCACCTGGAATCCGGATATGAGTGAATCAGAGACAAGTAGAGTGGGATAAGCCTTCCAGAATATGATTGTCATACTCGATGTCAGTAGAAAGCTTCCTGTAGATGACTCGGGTTAAACACCTCAAGGTGTTAGACAAGCCTAGTGATCACCACACAAATCCATGCAGAATGATGAACTTGTAGTTATCATGGAGTCGTGATTAACAATGATCACCACTACAGCAAGATTACGTGCCAGGTAACTGGTTTGCCACCCCCACCGTAGGCCAAAAACCAGAAGGATGTTAATGGTTGCAATAAGATAATATTTGTCGGAAATCTCGTTGTATCGAAAGAATACCAAAATCGTGCCAAAGTTTACAAGTGGAACTACCAAGCGTATGAGAGTTCGTGCAAAAAAAATCATAGCTATAGGGCTGCTCTGCCCCTCATTCATTTTCTTCTGGCATTGCGAAACAAAGACATGCAGGTTACTGATAGCTTCTGGTCTGCAATTTGAGAAGATATCCGTGTTTCAGATATTCCTGTCAGGTCAGTATTATTAGCATTCCTCAGTTCACTCAGCCCATCCATTTAATTCGACAAACTGGTGGTGTTCATCTTTAGGCAGTTTATGCATTCAACTTGAAACGCGTGAGCTTCTTAGTCTTGTTTATCTGAATGAGTCCTATGTGAATTGACGGCAAACTACCTACACAGGGTTTCCCGAGTTGGCAGCCTCTATTCTTTCCACGCTTTTTCATGATTTTGACAGTCTGCTGGTGGAATATTCAGCTTCGATTTTGCTTTTGATTCGAGCATAATGTGGCCCATCCAAATGTATATTGATTTCATTCGGCAACCGACGCCTATTGGCGAGAAATGTTCTGGAGGTTGAAACCAACTTACGGGATGATCGGAAGGCTATCTTCATCAGCCAGGGTCTAGGATCCTCGTCATTCTTGGCTTGTCTCATCACTCGTTGGGTCAATATGCTCTTAAGCTTCAACGACTGCTTGATGAATTCCCATCCCCGAATATCAGAGCCTGTGTAGTCAAGGTCCATGTTTTCTAGCACACATTGCACAATGATATTTCCTATGCTTATTAGACAGTGACACCCGGTGCTTCTCAACTGTGTTGACGGTAGTTCGATCGCCAACAGAGTTATTGAGGACCACCATTACATTTAGTGATATAGTACTGGGAGTCCCAAGTTTGCTCTAAACCCATATCACAATGTTGAAGGTTATGAGAACTTTATTCGGGATAATCTCACCCACTTTAACTTAGTGGACAACCTGTTTAATATGTGTCTTATCAACGGTAGGTCGATCTGTAATAAAAAGACGGATTAAGCCCTGTTTGTATCCGTTTATCAACCATCACTTTTAATGATATCTAAAGCATGCACTAACAGTAATATTTCCTGCCTAAGTATATCTCTTGATAACCACTTCTTATATACAAGGAAGAAGCAGAGGATGACTTATATACGCCCACTGTAGCATAAACTCGCTATTATGTGATATGCATGAACTACACAAACTACAGGACTCGGTGTAAATTGTTTAAAGCCTTCGGATTCCATTTCCTTACTGTTTGGTTGTATCTACCGTCAGCTTAACGCATCAATAGGTGAGATCGCAATATTGTTAGAGGCATTCACGCTAACATCATTACTTCAAATCATAGCCCATCATATTCGTGGTGTCTTTGACATGCCTGAAATTTCTTGGTTTCCAGTCAAGGCTCCGAAACGTTATGAATCATTTATTAAATGTCAAGAGCTTGGATAGTGGATTCAATATGTCATTAACCCTACCAGACATCAAAATATCTTGGAATTAGTCTTTATAGGTGACCTCACCCCAACACTGTGTATATTGCAGACAAAGTTTCCGG